AAAAAAAAAACCATACTATTAACCAACTAGCCAGTAAATTTTAAAATTTTGTCCAATTTTTATAAATTATGAGTAAGTTCACTTTTATTGCCCAGCTTTAACCACCTGAAACTACAAATTCTTCACATGTGCAAAGACACATCTTTAGAGAAGTTACTCTGAACAACTTTAAAAGTAAATTGATATAAATTCAACAGCTATTTTAACTAAAATCCATTTCATGGAGTATTAAAACACTGTAATAAAAAACTCTAGTAAGTTTCTATAAGCTGGTTCAAAAAAGTAGCCAAAAATTACATTTCATTACCAAGAATCTAACATTGCTAATAAGCAGCTGATTTTTAAAAAACTAGCTTTGCTTTGGTTTCTCTGAGCATATTAAAGTAAAATTTAAAGGCAACTCTCTCTCTTCACCGTAACAGATCAGTTGTATGGTACCTGTATTCTCTAATAACGTCTTTGGTGTGTTGGGTCTGTTAATGATTTCTACAAGCTGGTGCAACACCATAGGGATATAAGGCTGCATCTCTATTCCTAGATCATTCCAAAAAGAGAAACAAAAAGGAAAATGTACTTGTTAATGTATATAAATGTTAGTATAGAATATTTTTGTTATATTTATGAACTATGACAATAAAAAGCCGACTTAAGTTTTAAAAATTATGAAAGTAACAAACCTAGATTTTTTTACTCTTAAAGGGAAAAAATGTCATACCCATTTGAATGGAGATTTCTCCAATGGCCCATGTGGCATTGTTGCAAACTGAAATGAACTCTGGATTTAGGTTGGTTCCCAAAATTGGCATGAAATCAGCTAGGGAAGGGGGAAAAAAATTTAAATACTGTCATATAACAAATGTCTCAACTGCAGTGTACACACATTAAAGGAAATTGGCTAGGTGAAAACAATAATGAAGGCCAGAAATAGTTTTATAATTAAACATTACTATGTGAAATAAACAAATTTTCGTATACAGAAGGTAGCATTGCAGTTTTGGTAATAATCTCTCTTGAGAAATTCCAAAATAAAAGGAGAAAGAAAACATAAAGTGATTTTCTTTCAAAGATACTTTTTAAACAATGAAAAAAGCAGAAGTCAAAATTCAAAAAACTTTTGAAGGATGTCAAGAATCAATTTATTATTTTAACAACTGGTATGTAAAGGGCAAATAATTAATTAGCTTGCTTTCCTGTATGATTTTAACTCAGACCAACAAGTTACTAACACGGGGAATGTCTTTTTATAGAAATTTATTACAATGAGGACTATTTTAACTTTGATAAATTAACAGTTTCTCAACTCTGGAACTGTAATGGTTTAAAAGCATCGCTGGCCTCTACCTACCAGTAGAGTAAGCTCTCTATCAGAGCCAGAACCAGAAGTTCAGATCTGTAAATATATAAAATGGAAGAAAAAAAAAATCCAAACAATTGAAACACCAACCAAAAAACTACATAGGTCAGTGTTTATAAATGAAAATTTAAACAGTGTCACCTCAGACTTTGGGACGGACTGGAATGGGAGAGTGTTGCATTTAATCAAAGAATTTGGAATTATCCAAAGAATAAATGAACATGAAATTTTTCCCCAATGCGATAGTATTTTGCAATTTCTTTAGCTATGTTGGCTTGTCAGAGTAAAAAGTTGATTATTATTCTCATTACCTCTACTAAAAAAAGAGGCTAAGAGAAGAGAAAAAACCCCACCAAAAAAAAAACACCAAAACACCTATGAAGTAGTGTATTGCACACCAGAGGTTCACTGTTGGTACTTCCTTTACTCTCGAAAGCAGCCTCTGCTGATGTCCCACTAGTCACAGGAGTGCCTAGAGAACTGAGAAAGTGCTAGTGAGCTCATGGGAATGAGGCACAGGAGTTACCGACTTGTGCTTAAATCAGCAACTTTACCTTTACCAGTAAAATGGACATGTAAATTCTGTAAGAGTTCTTTTTGATAGAAAATACAGCTCATGTTTAAAAAAAAAAAAGTCTTATTTATAGTAGAAAGAAAATAGTCTTACCTATACAAGGCTTAACATGCTGAAAGCAAGCTTTTGTAAGGTCACCTAACAAGGCAAAGGAACTCTGTCGAACTTCTGGCATTTTATCCTACAAAAAAGAAAAAGAAATTAACTTCAATGTGATAGAGAACTAGATTTCAACTAGTGTTAATTTAACAAGAGGCTTACCTGCATGCATTGATACATTAGTGTTAGAATGTTACTTCGTGCCACCAGCTGTTCAATGTTGCCTCCAAGTCCTTCAGCCAGGCCACTGAGTAAATCAAGAGCCACTATCATAAAATCTTTATCTGGAGCTTCATATTGATCTGGTTGAGCATTGTTCAGCTGAAATGAAGTTTTATGGGACAATGTTTTATATCATTCAAAAAAAATATGTGTCATCATGTCTATTAGCAGGGAAAAAAAA